CATACAGACCATACAGGCTGCGACTTGCGTTACCTCGGCCGTGATCTGATTAACTCTGTAGCCCGTTATCACTCATTCAATGTAATCTTCTTTCAGTTGCCATTCTCCGGCAAGTATCAAGTTCTAGTCGCATATCATGTAAACCTATTTTACTAACTTTTGAGTATGCGCAGTAAGGTTACTGCTAAAGGAAGTGCAACTTTTACTTTGTCACGTGTCCAACGGTGGGCCAGACACGGGGTTGAAAAATTGACGTCCTACTGATATTTATCATGTACTCAAGGTCCTGAGAAGATGGTTATTTGCCATCGAACTCTCAGAGAATCATGTTTACTTATTCCCATTTGGCAATTCCGTGGAAACAGCCTATTACAAATGTGCAGTGGCAGCTTGCTCATTACGCAATGCGATGAATAAAGTTGACCCATGGCGACCCCGTTTTAGCAGTTCAGCGCTAAATCTATGAGGGGAATCGATCCCACCTCACCAGTGGTATGTCATCAATCCTCGGTATCAGATTATCTCAGTGAGGAAGTAATGTAGCTCTGTAAAGGTACAAAAGAATACTGCTTTATGATTCTTATCCATTCACCGTGGAGAAAGGAATTATTCCCTTGCCACAAGAAGAAGCAACTCGACTGAGAGACGGTCATCACCAGAGTTTGGACAACTGAAAGATGGTGCGTGCATTTGACGATCCTTAACTACATGTATTAACAAGAAGTTAGCTTTTACTTTTAAATACGCATGCATGATTGTTATCCAGTTGTTTTTTAAAATTAACTCAAATTGCTCAAAATGAACTTCAACGATGTAGCTGGGTTTGTGAGAAAGGGTGGGGCTCTTCTTTAAAGTTAGTTTCCACACCGTGAAAATCATTGAGTTTCTAATTAATGTTTTTGTTTTTTATCATCAGGAGTTGAAGGCGTATCTCCTTTTCCTTGTCTTGTTCGTTGCCGCCACATCTGCAGCGCGTAACTGTACATGTGAAGATGAAGATAAGGTAAAATCTTATCGGCTCTTATTTTGACTTGTATCAAGAACTTGCTTGTTCTGGTAGAATGCTAGAATATTTTATACTTCTCTATTCTAGTCTTAAAATTGTTAAAATAACATTGAATTAAATGCATTCAAAGGCATGTTCCCTTAATTTTTGACAGTAAAGTAATCGTATAGTAAAGTAAATGTGAATTGAGTCATAATAATCAACCTGCTATTTTTCTTCTAAGGAAACCTTGTCCAAGTACAAAGTGAAGGTCAAAGAGGGCGATGAAGAGATTGATGAAGAGGTCAAAATCGACACCGAGAAACAAACTGAGACTTTTCACATTCCAAAACTGAAATCTTCCAGCGCTGGAGAAGTGGACGAAATCTTCGACTTCAAAAGAGTAAGTGTATTTAAGTCTCGCAAAATGATCATTAACTTTCCACAACTTTCTTGTTTTCAAAACGTCAGAGTTCTAATGGAAAATCTCATTTGGTTAGTTAAGATTTTCAGTGATTTTTGTCAGTATTCTTAGATCTTGTGGCTGTATAGTGCTTGGCCAAAGAATGGTGAGGCATTTTTTATTTGAACGTGGAAGGTAATTAATCCGACACTGGATCGGTGACAATTATATGTACGCACAAATTTTGGCGCCATCTTATCCGAAACCAGAAGTAAAAAATTAATTGCAGTTTGATACCTTACTCGCGTTTTCCCGCACGTGAGGTTAGTGCGCTAACTTTGGATAAAATTTGGGTCTTTGTCACATTCCACTGTGTTGTGGTTGATGAGAAGCGTGATTAAGGTTGCATCGGTTTTTTGACATA